GCAGGGGAAGGGGGAAAAATAAGAACCAAGAGAGATTATGTAAAGGTGCAAATTTCCAATGATGAATGTCATTATATTGTGTACCTAAAATGTACCAATAAAATAAAATTTTTTAAAAATGTGTTTGAAGAGCTCTGAATATAAAGTGATATATCTCTAATGCCCTTTCCTTAGAACTATTTAAAATATAAATAGTGAGCATATATATGTGTGTTATACACTTTATATGTGTATAATGTGTTTATGTGTATATTTTCACACTCACAGAAACACACATGATAGAACATGATCTGACTACCTTCTTTTATCTCTCTTGAGTTACTCCTCTTCCTAAACTTTCCCATCTCTTTCTTCAATCACATCAGCCTCTTTTCTCTTCTAGAATACTTCAGATATCACCCTACCTCAGGATCCTTGGACTTTTTGTCATTGTTGTTCCTTTCCACTTGAATGAATTTTCTGCCCTTACCACATGCTCTCTTATCTCTTTTAGGTCTCTACTCAACTATTACTTTTTTGTGTATGTATTTTCTGATCACTGCATCTTAAATAACAGCTATAATCCCTTTTATCCTTTCCTGCTTTATTTTTTCTATAGTACTTAGCCTATGAATTGTATTTTATGTACTTTGTTAATTTTACTCTCCCAGTTAAAGTCTATGAGGGAAGAGATTTTTGTTTTGTTGATTGCCAAATTTCCATCCTGTGGGACAAGATTACATAATCGATGCTCAGTAAATATGTGTTGATCAAACAATGGTTTCATGAATAAATTCTCTAATTTTCCTGTGATATCCTAGAAAAACAAGAACTTCTAACAATAACATAAGCTATGGCTTTAAATTTTAGATATTGAGGAAAGTATCCCAAATGAGTAACGTTGTAGGGTTTGACAGCATTTGATCATAAAAGAAATTCTTAAGCACTAATTATTCCTGCTAAACTTCCAAAATAAGTATCTGTGGCTAAATCAGTCTTTGTGTATAAATGGGTGTAACTTGAATCTATAGTGTTACGTGAAATAAATAAGATACACAGCTTAAATATTTTATGGTCTCTTATGTGAGAAACTCAAAGTATAAATAAATCAAAGAGCAAAATAAAAGAAAATGGGAAATAGGGAGATATATCTTTGGCAAATGAGAAGACTACTGAAACATGGATGGGCAGAGAAGGGGACATAAAAAGAAATAAGAGATGTCATGTATATGTACCAACCACCCGCAATCAATGCATTAATGATGTACTACAAACATGAGCTAATAAAATAAAATTTTTAAAAGTACATAAATTCCATAGTAAAGGTTTATTTTAATCATAAAATTTGGAGATGGATTACAGAATAGACAATTATTTTCCTTTTTAGTGCAAAATGAACTTTTATAATAGTATTTGTGTCATTTTAAAAGACAGACTTTGAGTCATTTATTTTGAAAAATATCAAGATTTACAGAATGCAAGGCAATATAGAAGCAATATATCTGATATATGAATTATTATTTAGTCCAAGATAGTTGGCTAAAGTTGCTAATCATTAGTATATCCAAAACCTATTTACTTTTATATTATAAAGCAATTTCGTGATATTTCAGAGTGTCTCCTCAACTTACTTTACGGGCCCTGAGATTGCGCCTTGGTGAGTTCCTTGGTGAAGATGCTGTTGCAGAAAAATTTTTCTTTCTAAAATGCATTGGAAATAATTTAGCTGTGGTGAGTGTTCTTATTTTTCCTTCTGATAAAATAAAAGCATACCTTACCAAATTATGTTTCTTAAATGCATGTTACAAGGCACTAAAAGGATGGGATTTTTTGTGCGTAAATTCCCTTGAGATGAAGCAAAAAGACATTTAAAATGTGATCATACAAGGAGTTTTTTCAACAAATATTTATTGATGCTTTTCTATGTACAAAACTAGAAAAAAGAATCTGGTAAGGATCATACCCTTGAAATGTATTTCATGTAGCAACCAAGAATGAATAAGTGTTTTTTAAAACAGTAACTGCATGGAAGGGAATAGTGGATAGCAAGTTATAGTTTGTTGAAGATCTTGAATGCATGATTTATAGTTTGCTACTCTTTCAGAAGCCTGGAGTTTTTGAGCAAAACAGCGACATGATTAAAACTTTTAATAAAAATTTATTGGGCCTCACCTGAAAAAGATGGATTGAAGTGAAAAGAAATTGCAGGTAGAAATTCCAGCTAGGAGGTTTTTAGTGATTCAGGCAAGAGATAAGGAGTACCTAAGGAGCAGGATGCCTCTCTGATCTCATCTACTACCATGTTCTCCTTGGTTTTGTATGGCGAGTCCATGCAAGTGATAGCCATAATTATTATTAAATGACATAGAATTTCTACTACATTTGATGCAGTGAATAGAAATAGCATTATATTCTACATCTTTAAAAATCTAGGCATAATTTTAAAATTTGATTTATATGTGCTACACATATATGTCATCTGCAAAGAGAATGGAGGTAAAAATGGAAAATATAAAAGCTTCAGTTTTTTCTCACTTATTTTTTTCTAGGTGAAGGAAAGGCAAGAATCAGAACTAAAACTCAAATCATTTGCTCCTCCATATGTATGTTATATGATATTTTTAACATACTAATTTTTTAACTCCTACTGTTTTTTAATTACAAACTAATTTTTAAATTTTCCTGTATGTTTTAGGCTCTTCAACCAGAATTATATTTGCTTCCTGTAATGGACCATTTAGGAAACGTTTATTCAGCATCATCAGCAGTTACTTTAGATGGGCTGCAAACTAATAACGATATTGCTGAGATTGATGGAACAATCCAGAGACCAGTTAGTGTAACTTTGTCGAAGGAAGAACCTGGAAGAATTCCCAGTTCTTTAGAAAACATTTTGAAAGAACTTTTTAGCAAGAATCAAGAAGAAGGTGATTTCAAATGAAATGGGGAAGATAAAGGTTATTATAGTATGTTTTAGTAGTCAGGTCTGTGAGTAAATATTGGGCAAACCTTGCTTACAAATGGAAGTATGTAAAAGGAATGCTACAATTCAGTTTGGGGATTAAAAAATTGCCAAGCATGAGGAAAAAACCCCTCTGCTTTATGTTAAAATAAAATAGAAATAGTTACAGCATATAGATAAACTCTACCTTCTTTTATAAGGAGTGTTTCAGATAAAATTAAAACTATAGAAAAATAAAAAGGAAGTGATTTACCACATAAAACTTTGGCATTACTCAGAGACCAGAAGGATCTTGTTCAGAAAAGCAGTATCAAACCAAGGCAAAATTAAATTTAATGTTGGGGACATATGTATTTCTAAAAATTCAAAAAGTTTTGTCTGATTGCACCTATGAATTAATAATTTTATTAAAAAGTACTGCGTAATTAAAAATAGTTTTGTCAGAATTAAATATACTATTGATAAAATAGAGTAAACTCTAAGAATGAATAGAAAAAAATCAGTTTTTATATTACATAAGGAAATATGCTGTTTATATGGGAAAGACAGATATGTTAAATAAATCCCTCCAAACTAATAATATTTTTTATAGCTGTGAAATCTACTAGTTTTGTCTTTTTTCAAAGCCAGGGGTTTTTTTTGTCATTTTGCATTGAGTAGATCTTTTTTTTTAAATGTGTTTCTTTTCATTAAATGACTTTGCTAGTGCCAACTGGGAAATAAATGGTAGCAGCCAAACTAAAATTGAACCAATATGAGCAGCAGGTTGCAAAAACTTTTGACAACCTTTGCAAAATGATTTTTCAAATATTAATTTGACTCATTAATTTTCTAAATTTCTAAAAAATTTACTTATGGGGGAAGTATACATTAACAGTGATGGCTAGGTTAATGGATCTTTTGTTTATGCATAGATCATAGAATATTTGTGTTAATGTTTTAAAGATAGATTGTCTGCCTTTATAGAAAATACTGTTAAAATGAGGGAAATTTCATAAATAAAAATATATAAAATGACAAATGATTTTTAATGATCTATAATTACACTAACATTTTCTAGAGAAGGTGCCTGAGAGAAATATTTCAAAAACATGCTTTTAGTAAAAGGTTTTTAAAGACAAAGTTTGTGTACAACCTGAATTACTCTGGCAGATTCATGTTGCACATACAGAAGTCCTGCAGTACGAGTGTATATGTGTCTGTATGTGAATGTGTAAAGGGATCTGTGATCCTGTTTATTGTTGCTTAATTCAGTGTCTGCCAAAGTGACCAGAGAATTTTCTTTTCACATAAACTAATGTTTCATGAAATTCATTTTGAAAATTGTTGCCTTAAATCTCTATAGCAAAGTTCATGAGGATTCTGAAACATAGAACAAGATTATGATATGTACATATAAAAACTTTTCTTTTATTATTTCCTTAATATTTTGAACTTTATTTGCTATGTGTGAACATCAGCATCAGTTAAGAAAAAAGCTACTCCAAACAAAAGCCAGAATGCAAACAGTCACATAGAAAATTCTAAATTGCCAGCATCTTTGGAAGATTCAAATGATTATTTTCACAACCAAAAAAGGTAATTAGTGTAGATGTTGATTCTATGTGTCATAAGCTAAACTATAAGAAAAAGGATGTGGTATCCAGAGTACTGTTATAAGGGGTTTTAAATTAGAACAAATATATAACTGAAATTAGTAATGCTTTCAACTAAAATTACCCTGATTCTCATCTTTATTGTTATATACTAACAGTTCTCTCCAATATGATGAGGGACAATTTATTACTAAGTTTATTTTTGTTGTGATATTTTTCTCATTAGGGCAACCTAATGTTAGAACTAATTCTTATTGCCTCCCTTACATTCTTGGATATAGGTAAATTCTTGGTTATAGGTTAACTAATAAATATGTTTGAGTTTCACATTGCTATCACTTCATTCAGTGTTATAGTATTTAGACAAGAATTTTGCTTATAATTTTTTGAAATTAAGACAAAGGTTTTATAAACAATTACCCATAATTGAAGTTTCTAAGATTTCCAGTTATTTTGCTCTATTATAGATAATGGACTATGATTTGCATTTAGCTATAATACAATGATATATGATTGCATTAGTTGTGGTAAATGCAGTTTATGTTGATCATTAATGAGTTGGAAAGAAAATATGATAATGGCCTCAAACTAACTTATTTTAAGAGATGGGGTCTCACTGTGTTGTCCAGGATGTTCCTAAACTCCTGGGCTCAATGAATTCTCCTGCCTCAGCCCCTTCAGTAGCTGTCACCCTGCTTGGATTTTAGACTGAATTTAAAAATTTTTAATTTTATAACTGCATTTATAGGTCAAGTAAGATATATAAAATATTCATATAACACTATGAAAGTTTACATTCATAAAATCATATTTGAATGACTCTCAAATCTGTCAATTTCAGTCAATTTCTTTGGAAAAATGAAGATCAAATCATCAACAGAAGACAGGACAATCAGGTATGATTTTAAAATTATTGTTTAAATATGGCATTACAGCCTAATGCTTAAACAGAAATTTAAATTAAACTGCAGATTAAAATAGCTGAGTTTTCTGGTTATAACACCTACAGAAGTATATGCTTCTAATCTCAGTATTGTCAATGATAGTCCAGTTTTTTTTCCTGTTTTTGTGAGTGAATAAATAATATGGCTGAATGAGAGGAAAAGGTGATGCACCAATACTTTTTTTGATTATTTTCTATGTTAATCTTTACTTAACTGGCAGCTTAATAACTAATTTATAATTGAATGTACTTGATTAACTCAGGTCTTTAGAACAGATTTCTCTAGTGTGATGAGGTAGTAGAGTAGTAGGTATTTACTATTAGGCACTAGTTGCTATCTTTTTTACCTTGGATATGTTGTCTAATTTAAACTGCAGTAGTTCAAAAGAGTTAATTGACATGATCCATTTCACAAATTTATTCTAAAGAAATGATGGAAAGACTAGGAGAAACTTGCAAATATTTTCAGGAATAAATTTAGCACCTTCGTAAGATGCTAACAATACTAGTTTTAGTGATAGCTAACAATGAGTACCAACTAATATTCATTATTCTAAGTATCTTACACATATCAATTCATTTAATCTCCACAAAAAAACCCCTATAAGGTAGATTATGGTCAACATCCCCATTTTACAGATAAGGAAACTGAGGCTCAAATAAATTCAGTGACTTGCCCATGTCATAATATAGGTAATAAATAATGGAGCTGGGAGTCTATCTTAAGTCATCTAGAATGGATACATAGTTCATGCTCTTAACTAATATAATAATAATCTAAATAATAATGATGATATAGTTATAATTATATAGCATTTATCAGACCAATCACTGTTCTAGGTACTTTATGTAGGTTAAGTTATTTACTTCAGCATCTCTGAGGAGATATTATTATCCTCCTTTTCAAATTAAAAACCTAAAACCATTAACTTTTCCATGGTTACCAGCCTTTCATTCTCATTTGGCAAAACATCAACACAAGTCAACAGAAAACAAACCTCAAGTGAATCTTTAATTCTGCCATCAAGTACAAACTATATCTTTCTGGTCCATTACTACCCTTCTAGACAACTCTGTTATATGTTCTCTTCAAACTGTCTCTTTTCTCTTGCAGTGTCAGTGATAATTTTCTTTTTGGAATTTGAAGAGAACCAACACATTTTAAACTTTTTCAGTCATCTCCTGGATGAAGTAAAACCTGTGTAGGGGAAGCTCTAGATCACAATATTTCCTTAGTTTTTGTACATTTAAAACTATCTCTAGTAGAAGGGCAAATTAAGTCCTTCAGTCTGCTAAGTAAGGTCTGTGAGCTCAGAAATTTTTTTATAGTTTTAAAGAATTCTAAAAACGAAAAACAATTTTACTACTCCTTGGTTCTTTACAGAAATTTGCTAATTCCTGCTCTAGAGTCTTGGTACTTGAAGGACTTGATTGACTAAAAATAATCCTTGTCTTGTTTCCCTTGAGTGTATATGATGTCTTACTTTATATGTCATTGTTGGGAAGTATTATCCCAATCCTAATTTTCTATTCTTTGTAAACTTACTTGTATATTTTTGCCTGGAAGGTCAGAGGATTCCTTTATTATATATACTTTTTTTCAAGCTATGTTGCAATTGAGAACTTTATATAGTTTTTCTGGATATAAAGTGGTGGACCTTGTTTTCAGTATGAAAATCAGAACTTCTTTTATTTCAAGAATATTTTTAAAATTTTTTAAATTTTACATACTATTTTTGTTCTGTCATTTTATTTTTCTTTTTCAGGGATCATAATTAGTATTAGATCTTCTTTATGTTGTATATCACTTCCTGATTAATTTTATAACTCTTTACATTTTATTTTCTTGGCTCTTTTTATTATCCTATTCTTTATTATCCTTACTGTATTTTTGGTTATATCTGTTTCTCTGTTGGACATTTGCTAACTTACATTAATTTCTGAGAACTTTTTTCTTTCTTTCTTAGCATTTGGCCAATGTCCACCTCATGTCTTCCTGGGTTTTTTTTCAACTTTATTGAGTTTTTCTTTAAATTTTTGTTTTATGATGTTATCGATAAACACTTGGTGTTATGGCTTATATCTAGATGTCTTCCTAAATCCTCAAGGAGTCATTGGTGGGACTTTTCAGAGGTGGCTGGATGTTGAGTGTGTGATGCTGGGATTGATTCATGATATGATGGTATCCCACACTGGATAGAACGTAGGGAACAAAAAATGGGCTGCTATTGCCACTTGTTACTTGCTGCTTGTTACTTTGCTGCTTTGGTGCCTTTTGCCTGCTATGAACTGTTTTTCCTCTCTGCCATCTCTCTGCCATGCCACCCTGCCTTTTAGCCAGTCAACTATGGACTGAAACCTATACATATTGTAAGCCAAAATAAACCTTTCCTCCTTCAATTTTGAGTGTCAGGTATTTTTTCTCAGCAACAAGAAAAATATAACTAAGACACTTGGCTAATTATAATTAACTTACGTTGGGAGTATTATTACTTTTTCTCTGCTTCTATACCACTTTTAGCTCAATTTTGAAGTTTTCTTCTAAATAAATTTTAGATGCTGTAATACTTTGTATTTTACTTTTATTTTTTTCTCTCACCAAACTAACCTACAAAGAGACACTCTTCCCTCCTGGTGCATTTTCTTTTCACTCAGAAACTGCTGTCTGATGATTGCCAACGCTGGCACCCTACATTTTTCAGGCCCTCTCTTTTATCCCCTCAGAGAAAGTGCTATGATCTAATGGGTCTCCTTGTTCTCAGTACCTCACCACTCCAGTTAGCACCCTCTTCTTCCACATTAGACTATGGTTGATACTTTCTATGTTACCTATATGTAGTGCTCTCTGATGCATAGACCACGTCTGAGACTCTGCCCAGACATAAACTCCTGGCCACATTTAGGCTTAGGGTCCTTATTTTCCTATTCCCAGGTAAATTGAAGGATTCTATGTCCCAATTATGCTATGGGCATAAAATAGGTGTAATTTTATTTGCCTTTTATCATAGTTGGAAGTATGTGCAGAGAGATTCTAATGCATTTGGTTTCTGTTACCCTGTGAGAATTTGATTCTGTAACTTAATAAAATAAATAAGCTAGAAAAAATATAGAAATAAGAACTTGATGAAGTTAAAAGTAGAAATTGAGTTAGAGAAATGAAAACCCTAACAGAATTCAAAACAATTCAAGATCTGTAGGTAGTAGGTAGTTGGAGAAACATCAACATGGTAAGGCTTGATGTAATTTATTCAAAAATGGTAGAAGAATGAAAACTAGGAAAAATGAAAGCAGAGAAGATAAAATATATGAGAATAAAATGTGAAACTGCTAAGATTTTTTTAAATGTGATAGAAGCATCAATTTTCTAAGCAAATATAAATGATCAAAATTAACCCAAGATGAAAAGAAAATAGCCATCCTAGAAAATTTAAGAAATTATCAAATGAAATAACTGAGACCAGAAATCTTGGAAAGAAATCATGTTTGGAAAGAAAAATAATACATTTAAAATTTGTTTTGGTTTGAAATGTCTGTGGATAATGCCCAAGCAATATAGTGCAGTAGAGAGACTGTTGTGTGACAGAAAGCATTCATCAATACATAAGAGAAAGCCATCCCAGGCTCCTAGGGCAGAAAAGGTAAGCCGGTCCCAGCACCCGGAAGGAAGCTCCCCCACCACCATCCCAAGTACCTAGAGCACAGAAGCTGAGCCGGTCCCAGAACCCAGAAGGAAGCTCTCCTGCTGCCATCCCAAGCTCCTAGGGCAGAGAAGGTGAGCCGTGTGGGTGCCAGAAGCACCCCCTCCCGTGGAAATGAGAAGACACATAAACAAGTCTCAAAAACAGACTTCTGGATCACCTACAGCAACCCCAAAGGGAAACGAGATGAAACAATCTGATACTCAAC